AAGAGTTGACAGTTCCGAGGAGAGAGCAGCTACAGGTGATTAGAGATACAGCTACAGCAGCTACATCATGAAACAGAAAAGGAATGAGAGATACAGCTACAGGTCCGCCATCATGAAACAGAAAAGGAAGCGATAAAGACAAAAGTCATATAAGTTTAGCCAAAGATCCGAGAAAGCAATCAGACTTAAGGGATGATGGGCACTCCCGCTCCTCCTTCATATTTCCTCTTGGAGGCTCTTAGGAAAATCCAAGAACAAGGAGGAAATTTTTGGTCTCATCTTTACTCCTTTTCAAATGGGAAATAGTCGGCTTCATTTTTCCCCATCGTCGAGTAAACGTCTGTATGCAACAAATCACAGCTTCAATGGTCTATATATAATCTATAGTCTATATATATAATCTATATATATAGTCTATATATATAATCAATCTATAGTGAAAGTCTAGAATAAAAGCCACCAATTTACTGGGGTCTATATAACAGCTATTTGCAAGATATACACCACAACAAAGTTAATACTCATCATATAATAAAGTTTATCTCAAAGGCTTAAGTCTAGATGTCACCAAGTTAACCAGGTGCAATCCGTCCTCGGACCAAGTCCATTCCATCCAGCGGTTGACCCCCACAGACGCATTCATCAATTTTAAAATGCTGTTCATTCAAAACAGGAATTTTATCATATATAAATTAATATTATTATATATCAGCATAATGTGCATCTTTAGGCACTGGTTAGGTTAGGTGTTTAGGTTCTGTTGGCGATTATTTGTATTTGTAGTACGTGGGTGAAGCATTTACAGCGTTGTGGTTCGAACAAGAGTCGTCGGCGAATCACTTGTTCCGGAAGTGTTCGGACGTCATTAGTCGAGTCGTGTGTAAACCGTTTTTCATTCATAAACAGGGGGTTTGGCGGGTGCATGGAATGGACTTTGGGTCTTTGTTTGGAGGACGGGCTGCCAGGTGACAAACTTAACAACATGGATACACTAGATAACCAGTGAAGTACAACCAAGTTGTGGTCAAAGTGGATAATTGGTGACTTTATTCAAAAGCAAAATCACTAAGGATTAATCAAAATTGAAATCTCAAGAGCCTAAACAACAATCAAGTAACTACTGTGGGGGGGCAACTTATCACTAACGTCAACAAGCAACAAGTCGTTGCAACTAAACACTTTCTCAAACGGCAAACACTTTTTTTGCCCTCCCAAAAACTAAGTCCCAACTGGACTGACAAATGGCAAAGTCAAAACTCGTTCCAAAAGTTAGAGTTTCACATGACTTGAAGAAAATGACTTCAAGTCCCTACAAAGAAAAATATATAATACGTCACGAAGCCACGAGATTTACAAGTAAAAAAAAAATATATATATATATATATATATATATATATATATATATATATATATATATATATATATATATATATATATATATATATATATATATATATATATATATATATGTCGTACCTAGTAGCCAGAACTCACTTCTCAGCCTACTATGCAAGGCCCGATTTGCCTAATAAGCCAAGTTTTCATGAATTAATGTTTTTTCGTCTACCTAACCTACCTAACCTAACCTAACCTAGCTTTTTTTGGCTACCTAACCTAACCTTACCTATATATATAGGTTAGGTTAGGTTAGGTAGGGTTGGTTAGGTTCGGTCATATATCTACGTTAATTTTAACTCCAATAAAAAAAAATTGACCTCATACATAGTGAAAAGGGTAGCTTTATCATTTCATAAGAAAAAAATTATAGTAAATATATTAATTCAGGAAAACTTGGCTTATTAGGCAAATCGGGCCTTGAATAGTAGGCTGAGAAGTGAGTTCTGGCTACTAGGTACGACATATATATATATATATATACACACTGTTAACTTCAAAAACAATCATCTCCAAATAATTAAGTCTTACCTTAAAAGACAAAATAATAACGCTACTATAAAGACCAAACCAACACACCACAAGCTAAGGAGACGACGACGACGTTTCGGTCTGTCTTGGACCATTACCAAGTCGAGTGACCAACGTCACTACACGCTCATCACAGCACGACAAATTTCCCACCAACAGCTACCAAATCTCTCAGACCAGTGAACGCAGGCAGCTCTTCCAGCCCCCCCAACCCTCCCCACAGGTCAACTACACACTACCAACTTATACGAATACCGTATATCCTCTCAGGGTACTTAAAAACAACAATATAAATGAACCTGAATACAAAACTTCAGAATTAGAACATACGCAAATGTTTTTTTTCATTCTAACTACAACATATAACAGTGATTTACTAAATATTGGCAGACCACACTCGCAAGGGTTGGCTGCCCTGAAGCATGAGCCACGAACGCACTCACACACACACACACACACACACACAGACCGGACAGCTCACACGTCAATCAAACAAGCAATTCACAGATACCCGAAACAATACATGGAAATATTAAATACAAATACATATGTACAGTTAGTAAATATAGTTAAGTCTCCCCGTATATGCTTATTTCTTACCCTAACAACCCCCCCCGATTACCCCCGATTATTTCTTACCCCCGATGCTTATTTCTTACCCTAACAACTCGTATACACAATGTCGTAACCCATAAAGGGGAATCAATCGCTAGGTCTTACAAATACGCCATACAATATATTTTCCATCACTCTTGTATTTCATTTTAATTAATGAATTTTATACCTCATCAACGTCTTGCTTGGTATAGGTACGACCGCAGGAACGATGGGTCGTACGATGCCCAAGAGGTACGATACCCAAGTCAATTCATCGATAAATCATCGTTATCAACGTCGAATTCGCGTTGATATAACGTCGAACCAACGCCACTCTTGGATGGTGTGTCCACTGAACGGTAGATTGCTGCTACGTTGCATAAATATTCGAGATATTCCCTAATGACGTCTGACCTGATATATAGCTATCTACAAACAGTTAGTCCCAATAACGGGGCTGAAAATTAGACCTCCATCTCGCTGACCTGAAAATAAAGGGTTCGTGACCACTCTGCGGTCCGATCCGGACCTTAATCGAGTCAACTTGGATATGGTCCTGGACCTAAACGCTGTCATATAGACACGTTTAAAGTCCAACAGAGACACAGCTGTATGGGCTGGCTGCCAAATAAATAGTCAATGTATTTAGTATGATGCTCATTTCTTACCCTCTTCAGAGACTTGTGAATAAGGCCCTAATAAATAATAATAATAATAATAATAATAATAATGATAAAAGAATCTTTGAATATACAATGAAGCTACAATGTCGTGATATGTCTGAGAAAATCAATAGCTTTTAATTTTTGTCTTAATTACCACAGGAAGGAGTCAAGCCATTACGAGTTTATAGCACTGGGAAGGGGTCAGGATAAGGATTTGGGATGGGACGGAGAGAGAGATGGAAGAATGGTGCCCAATCACAAGTGGACGGTCGGGGATTGAACACCGACCTGCATGAAGCGAGACCGTCGCTCTACCGTCCAGTCAAAGTGGCTGGGTAGCATTGTCCTGGCCCCCATGGATAAGACACGCAACTAGAGGTTGCCAAGGATGCCGGTTCGACCCCCCCCCCCGGTTCCTGCTCCAATGATCTTCGAGTATCTGTGAATTCCGAACAACCAATATTCTCTTCCCTTCGCTGTGGCGACGTTCAGAATTTTTTCTAAATTCCCCCGCGCAAATTCCTGTCGTACGACACTGGGGGGAGAGAGAGAGAGAGACGTGTGATGTCGTTTGGGCGGGCGTTGTTACGATCGTTAATTTGTCGTTCTTCACCGTGGAGGTAGTTAGTTCTCCCTTTGGCCAATCACGTTGCTTGTCTACTAGATGGATACCCTCCTATCTCTGTTGTATATCATCTAGCTTCTGTTGTGTGTATTCTTGCCTCTGTTGTGTATCTTCCTGCTTCTGTTGTGTATCTTGCTGTCTCTGTTGTGTATCTTCCTGCCTCTGTTGTGTATCCTTTGTTTCCCTTTGACTTTGTTGTGTGTCCTTCGTCTGTTGTAAGGTGGGGTCATGACATTATCCATTATTTTCTAACACGACTTTTGACGTTGTTCTAACACGACATTTGACGTTGTTTTAACACGACTTTTGACGTTGTCTCTAACACCACTTTTGACGTTGTTCTAACACGACATTTGACGTTGTTTTAACACGACTTTTGACGTTGTTCTAACACCACTTTTGACGTTGTTCTAACACCACTTTTGACGTTGTTCTAACGCGACTTTTGACGTTGTTCTAACACGACATTTGACGTTGTTTTAACACGACCTTTGACGTTGTTCTAACACGACTTTTGACGTTGTTCTAACACGACGTTTGACGTTGTTTTAACACGACGTTTGACGTTGTTCTAACACGACATTTGACGTTGTTCTAACGCGACATTTGACGTTGTTCTAACACGACTTTTGACGTAGTTCTAACACGACTTTTGACGTTGTTCTATTACATTCATTTGACGTTGTAACCATTTTATCCTTTTTGTTCACCATGTTCCTTGTGTTCACCATGTACCTTCTGTTCACCATGTTCCTTCTGTTCACCATGTTCCTTCTGTTCACCATGTACCTTCTGTTCACCATGTACCTTCTGTTCCCCATGTACCTACTGTTTCCCATGTTCCTTCTGTTCACCATGTACCTTCTGTTCCCCATGTTCCTTCTGTTCACCATGTACCTACTGTTCCCCATGTTCATTCTGTTCACCATGTACCTTCTGTTCACCATGTACCTTCTGTTCACCATGTACCTACTGTTCCCCATGTTCATTCTGTTCACCATGTACCTTCTGTTCACCATGTACCTTCTGTTCACCATGTTCATTCTGTTCATCATGATGTGACTTACCATGTATATACTTTACAGGTCTTCTGCAGGAGAATGTGCTAATACCACGTTGGCAGACGACGAGGCAGACACATTACAGTAGATTACTAAGTCTGGGACTTGTGCTCTTGTCTCCCACAGGCGGTGAGCTGCAGAGACCTCCCCTCTCAGAGGGCCTCAACAAGGCCGCTGGAAGCATGGCCCCCCACAACCAGGGGTTTCAGCCCTTTAGAGCACAAAGTTCGTTGGATTCTATGCAAGACAATCAAAGCCTGAGATTTAGTGGGCAGGACTTGTTAAGCCAGGCCAGGGGAATTCAGGATAAAAAACCTGGGATATATAGGCAAGGATCCTTAGGACAAGATCCACAGGGACATCAAATTAGTCAGGGTTCCAGTGCTTCGAGTGTGGGTAGTGCGGGTCCTGTGGGTTCCATGCAAGAGAAGTTGGGTCCACAAGTGGGGCAGCAGCCCCACGCTTGGCCATCTACACAGGGGCCGATGGCCCCAACCCCTCAGGGCATCACACTGCCACCTGCGGGCTCCCCCGGGGGCCAAGCTCAAGCAAGTAAGTTTAAACCGGATAAAGTTAGATCAAGTTTTTTTTTCTTAGCGAGGCGCTGGACACATTGTGCTGCTGGTGAGCACATGAGACGGTGCTCAGCAGCTGCACAGTGAGCAGCACATGATACAATGCTCATCAGCTGCTCAAGTAGAATGCCGCCACTAAACCTAGCCACTTAGGCCGCCCCGGCCACATAGTCTCTTCAGCATCTCACCCTTACAGCACGATTTTATTCTCCTATTTTAGCAAAGTGCACGTTAGTAGACAAGGCTTGGGCTAGAGCCGGGGGCACAGACGGCCCCCCTAGCCGCCCTAACCAGCGAACTAGCCCGTTCTCTCGAGTTATCACAATGGACAGAAAATGATGTACTCAATTGTCCGAACCTTACCTAACCGACTGATCCACTCATAGAAAACGTGATACGTTTGTGAGCCGGAACGATTTACGGTGCATCATATTTTGTTCATTGGGGAATTTTGACGTCAGATGGCGATGTATTATACGAGAGGCCTCGCTGAAGGCTCCCGTAGGCCTTCGGGTTAAGAAGTAGTTAGCGTAGAAGCCTATAATTTAAAGCTGCCTCAATACCTTAATGCATATAAACACACAGTAAACATTTAGTCCTGTAAAACGCTAGATGATAATGTTTTCACGTGTTAATTTCACAATAAACATCAACTAATATATAAAACTGAAAGCACTCTCATTAATCATCTGCTCCTGCCACGCTTATGTATTTTTTTTAGAAATTAACAATGTATTTTTTATATATAAATCAGTTTATGTGCAAGTTTATCTTGGAATTTAATATTGTGTAAGTGTAGACCTTTACGCAAAACTTGCGTAGATATACTGAACAAATGTGAAGGGGTTGCATAATTAGGAGATAAAGGCTTTTTTTGGGTTTGCGTAGCACTGCCTAAATAGGTCAGGGTGATGCGTACGTTTGTACACACACACACAAAAACACACACATACACACACACACACACACACACACACACACGTATTCAAAGCCATACTTAAACATGTATTCTAAAACACACAAACACACACAAACACAGCATTTGCACCTAGAGATACACTGAAACGTCAGAATAATACTTTCAAACGTCAGAATAATGTTCAAATGTAAACACAATAATTGAGAGAGAGAGAGAGAGAGAGAGAGAGAGAGAGAGAGAGAGAGAGAGAGAGAGAGAGAGAGAGAGAGAGAGAGAGAGAGAGAGAGAGAGAGAGAGAAGAGAGAAAGACACATGCCCACACAGAAGATAAGGTAAGGTAATTATAATTAGAAACCGTAAGGAGAGTGAAAAATAAATGCACAGAAATACAGTTAATAAGTAAAAGTATTAGCAAAGTAGTCCTGGCTTCTTGTTGCATGATATGTAGGCTGGTAAATACTTAACTATGTGGCCTCTAATGATTCATTAATTGTAGCTTTCTATTGTTTTCTTCACAGGAGAAGAATTTCTATATTAGTCAATTCTATTTGTCTATTTGTTATCGTTACGTAACACACATACATACATACATACATACATACATATATATATATATATATATATATATATATATATATATATATATATATATATATATATATATATATATATATTTAAAGGGTTACATGATGTACATTGGTTAATATAATAAGTGCTTAAAGGTTATGGATCACTTGGAGCTCCTCAGCTTCCTGACAGGAACCGAGGATGCAGCAGGCGTTTCCCCTCTGGATCGCCACACTGAGGCGCTGAAACAAGAAACTCTCAGTCCTTGGGTCTCTGGTGACGTCAGTGAGTTTGGAGCCTAATTCTTTGAGGAAACCCAACGCACTCTTGCCCCAGGGGCCGTGTGTCTCAGACGCTATGGGAACAAAGGTGTATTGACCTTCCAGTCGCTTGTACTTAATTGATTTTGCTGTTTCCCTGTGGTTGGCCGCCCCACCTGCTTGATCAGCACCGAAGCGTATGTAGATGTCAGGGTGGATACACATGTGTAGTCCCACACCAGCTGTCTGCCCCCTCTTCCAGGGGTATATTGTGATGCCATCTGGGCGAAGTGCTGGATCATCAGGTTTTAGTCCCGTAAGATACGAGGTTCTCTCTCCGCTGGACACTGAGGTGAGGCAAGGCTCCTCTTGATGATGTCATTAATCTTCTTGTCTTGCATGCCAGCCCATTAAGCTTTCGTAGTGCAACCCATGGAGTCCATATTGGTCTGCTTCCACCCTGTTGTATACTCTTGTATTCAATGTGAATTGGGGCACCAAGGCGAAATGGTGCACCAATCCCTGCTACACGAAGGGATTCTGGATCCAGACGCATGCCTGTTCCCGACATGGGTAAAGCCAGAAGGAAGTCCCCTGCATGGGGGGCATCCACTGCTCTCAGGCGGGCTTTCTCCTCATCTGATGTTTCTGCGCTGAGCATGGAATCAAATATTTTGTTCATTAGTGGGTAATCTCAGCTAGATTGTTTCTATTTTTTTTGTTGGATCTGTGATGGGTGCTGGGGCTGCAAGAGCATCCCACTGATTTGAACATTCAGTGAAAGCAGGATCGTGTATCCCTGCTAAACCATTCAGGGGTTCTAGTAGGATATCTTTTACGAGGTCATACGATGCATGGGAGGAGGAAAAAAGACTTGTACAGCAATGTGGGAAGCTATGCGGACAACAAGGCCGCCGAGTCTTATAGGAAGGGGTGCTTGCTCCCATTGAGAATCGTCCAGCGGAAGGTTCAGGACTTTCACCAGCATGGACCTCAGAAGGGTGTCATACACATTTAATTTAGGCCTGCTGTAGGATGGAGAACATCTCAGAAAGTAGGTCAACTTGGGGAGAGACAGGCATCTTGTGAGGAGGAAGAGAGCATCATGGGCATCAATCTTGTCAGTCCTGTCCAGCACTCTCCTTAGATCAGTGATCTTTGCCTCCAGGACCTCCTCGAGTGCTTGTGGGCCAATGGGGGGCCCCCAGGAGGGTGCAGTCACGTGACTCGACAACGAGAATGTTTGGAAGAACAGTCTTTATTTTAGAACAGTTATATATATAAATAAATAGTCTCTCTCTCTCTCTCTCTCTCTCTCTCTCTCTCTCTCTCTCTCTCTCTCTCTCTCTCTCTCTCTCTCTCTCTCTCTCTCTCTCTCTCTCTCTCTATCTATATATATATATATATATATATATATATATATATATATATATATATATATATATATATATATATATATATATATATATATATATATATATATGTAGGAGTACCACCTCTGGTACTGTTGTAGGGACCCTTGACAGTGAAGAAAAACGTAAGAAATATTGAGAAGATTCGTGTTAGATTATTAATCTTAACCTTTCGGTCATATTCAACAATATATGTTTACAAGAAAGACTGCTACCATATATATATATATATATATATATATATATATATATATATATATATATACACTGACTTGCTTTTAAACCACAAGTGAAGTTTAACAAACTTTAGACAACACCTTCCAATGGGCCTCGAACCCAGAAAGCACAAGTACCTTCCAGTCGCTGCCATAACTTGTATGCCTTAGCCCACTACACCAACATCAGACCCTTAAAAGAGATAGAGATTTCGAGGTATTTACCCCAAATATCTCCACCTCCCAAGGGCACCTGAGTGGTGAGGGGGGTTACTTCACGGTCTTTCATCAAGCCACTGTCAATGTGGGGAAAACTCGTGTCTATAGGTAAATACCTCGAAATCTCTATCTCTTTTAAGGGTCTGATTTTAGTGTAGTGGACTAAGGCGTACTAGTTATGGCAGCTACTGGAAGATAGTTGTGCTTTCTGGGTTTGAGGCCCACTGGTGGGTGATGTTTAAAGTTTGTTATATATACATATATTATATATTAGAAAAGTGCTATACGTGGATAGCACTGTTTTTTTTTTGCTCAGTAAGGGACTTTAGGGTAGCCAGAGGCGAGTACACGGTGGATAGTCTTAGTACTGTCTGCCGTCAATCAATACCACACCCTCGCCTGGTGCTGGTGGGGGTACCGTAGTACCACACCCTCGCCTGGTGCTAGTGGGGGTACCGTAGTACCACACCCTCGCCTGGTGGGGGTACCGTAGTACCACACCCTCGCCTGGTGGGGGTACCGTAGTACCACACCCTCGCCTGGTGGGGGTACCGTAGTACCACACCCTCGCCTGGTGGGGGTACCGTAGTACCACACCCTCGCCTGGTGGGGGTACCGTAGTACCACACCCTCGCCTGGTGGGGGTACCGTAGTACCACACCCTCGCCTGGTGGGGGTACCGTAGTACCACACCCTCGCCTGGTGCTGGTGGGGGTACCGTTGTACCACACCCTCGCCTGGTGGGGGTACCGTTGTACCACACCCTCGCCTGGTGCTGGTGGGGGTACCGTTGTACCACACCCTCGCCTGGTGCTGGTGGGGGTACCGTTGTACCACACCCTCCGTCCTCTGGCTTGGCTTATTTGCTAAATAAAATTTAGCAATCTACGTTTCGTCTGAGAATGGCAGAATTTCTCCCATCGGGTTAGATCTCTTAAACATCGTGTCCTTCGGGCCAATCGATGGAATACAATGTTAATGACTCGAGGATTAGGCAATTTTGCTGTCGTTTTGTTGGCAAAGTTGGTTATATATGCTGAGAACAGACAGAGGTCAAGGTGTAGGTGCAAAATACATGACCTCCGGGGGACGAGTTCTATTAGGTCATTGGTGGGCAGCAGAGTGGGGCTACACTGGTGGGCAGCAGAGTGGGGCTACACTGGTGGGCAGCAGAGTGGGGCTACACTGGTGGGCAGCAGAGTGGGGCAACACTGGTGGGCAGCAGAGTGGGGCTACACTGGTGGGCAGCAGAGTGGGGCTACACTGGTGGGCAGCAGAGTGGGGCTACACTGGTGGGCAGCAGAGTGGGGCTACACTGGTGGGCAGCAGAGTGGGGCTACACTGGTGGGCAGCAGAGTGGGGCTACACTGGTGGGTAGCAGAGTGGGGCTACACTGGTGGGCAGCAGAGTGGGGCTACACTGGTGGGCAGCAGAGTGGGGCTGCACTGGTGGGCAGCAGAGAGGGGCTACACTGGTGGGCAGCAGAGTGGGGCTACACTGGTGGGCAGCAGAGTGGGGGCTACACTGGTGGGCAGCAGAGTGGGGCTACACTGGTGGGCAGCAGAGTGGGGCTCCCCTGGTGGGCTGCAGTGTGGGGCTACACTGGTGGGCTGCAGAGTGGGGCTACACTGGTGGGCAGCAGAGTGGGGCTACACTGGTGGGCAGCAGAGTGGGGCTACACTGGTGGGCAGCAGAGTGGGGGCTACACTGGTGGGCAGCAGAGTGGGGCTACACTGGTGGGCAGCAGAGTGGGGCCACACTGGTGGGCAGCAGAGTGGGGCTACACTGGTGGGCAGCAGAGTGGGGCTACACTGGTGGGCAGCAGAGTGGGGCTACACTGGTGGGCAGCAGAGTGGGGCTACACTGGTGGGCAGCAGAGTGGGGCTACACTGGTGGGCAGAAGAGTGGGGCTGCACTGGTGGGCAGCAGAGAGGGACTACACTGGTGGGCAGCAGAGTGGGGCTACACTGGTGGGCAGCAGAGAGGGGCTACACTGGTGGGCAGCAGAGAGGGGCTACACTGGTGGGCAGCAGAGTGGGGCTACACTGGTGGGCAGCAGAGTGGGGCTGCACTGGTGGGCAGCAGAGAGGGGCTACACTGGTGGGCAGCAGAGTGGGGGCTACACTGGTGGGCAGCAGAGAGGTGCTACACTGGTGGGCAGCAGAGAGGTACTACACTGGTGGGCAGCAGAGTGGGGCTATACTGGTGGGCAGCAGAGTGGGGCTACACTGGTGGGCAGCAGAGAGGTGCTACACTGGTGGGCAGCAGAGTGGGGGCTACACTGGTGGGCAGCAGAGTGGGGCTACACTGGTGGGCAGCAGAGTGGGGGCTACACTGGTGGGCAGCAGAGTGGGGCTGCACTGGTGGGCAGCAGAGAGGGGCTACACTGGTGGGCAGCAGAGAGGGGCTACACTGGTGGGCAGCAGAGTGGGGGCTACACTGGTGGGCAGCAGAGTGGGGGCTACACTGGTGGGCAGCAGAGTGGGGGCTACACTGGTGGGCAGCAGAGTGGGGGCTACACTGATGGGCAGCAGTCTGCTGATTGCCTCTGAGTTGATGGTGAGAAACATCAACTTGACACCAAACACATTAGCTATCATTCACCCAGTGACTGCCTGATTGCATCATTTAAATATTTGGCTGAACATTATTGAATTAAAACAAGGATTATTATTAAGTGAATAGAAATTATGATAGAAATGAATACATGTTTTATGCAAATAATCTTACATTGGGTATATATACCGAATGGGTATATATTGGGTATACCCCCGCTTCTTGGATTAGTATATACAATGAGAGTTTACTACAGTACATATGGTAGTTGGGCTGTAATATATTGTGATGAGCTTAATAACCCTCCAGAGGTTGATAGGCCTTAAGCCCAACACCAAACCAATTAAATGGGTCCTTTAGTACAGTAGTCTACGTCCTCGACTCACACTCGAGCGACCCGGGTTCATTACCCCGCCAGGATCTGGAGGTTATCTGGAGATGATTTCGGGGCTTTAGTGTCCCCGCGGCCCGGTCCTCGACCAGGCCTCCACCCCCAGGAAGCAGCCCGTGACAGCTGACTAACACCCAGGTACCTATTTTACTGCTAGGTAACAGAGGCATAGAGTGAAAGAAACTTTGCCCATTGTTTCTCGCCGGCGCCTGGGATCGAACCCAGGACCACAGGATCACAAGTCCAGCGTGCCGTCCGCTCGGCGGACCGGCTCCCTATATGATTGGATATGATTGGACACGTTTCCTTTCACCTGTAATGTGTCTGTTCACCGAGCATTAGAATTGGTATCCAGGAGTTAGGCAACTGTTGTGGTTAGCAATTTGAGGAAGGCCAGAAGATGCCCTAAAGTGACTTCGATGTTTTAATACGGGTTTTCTGTCCACGTAAAGAAGAAATGCTTTTTAACAAATACGTGTCGTATATCCACGAAGCTATCATGTTAATCTTCAAGATGACGGTAATTGAGGGTCTAATTAGCTATTTAAGCAACTATCTGCATCTTACGTGTGATTCACAGCATCTTATGTGTCTTAGGGTTCAGGGCGCTGATTAGTTTTTTTTTCTACCACAGACGTGGCCACACATTTACAATGCTAACCAACATATATACATTTTGTTCTGTCCTCCATGGACAGGGTGAGAGATGTGTTAAACATATAGTTCAAGGGTTTATTGAACAATCAACCACAGAAGGTGATTCGGTGCTTTTAAAATGCTAAGCTGATTAGTGTCAGAATACAAGGCGTTGTTATGAGGAGATGAGAGCGTCTTGTTTTCCTTCTCCACAGGAGCACCGGACGTGGACCTGAGTCAGCTGAGCGAGGAGGAGAGAGCCATCATTGAGAGTGTGATGGAGAAGGCCAAGGAGATGGAGAGCCACGACACCCCTACTAGACGAAGGTAAGAGGCCTCCCTCTCTCCCTCCCTCCCTCCCTTCCTTCCATCAGACAGGGCCTTGTCTTCTCTGTGCCCATCCAAGTGGTTGGGCACCATTCCTTCCCCCCGTCCCATCCCAAATCCTTATCCTGACCCTCTTCCCAGTGCTATATAGTCGTAATGGCTTGGCGCTTTCCCCCTGATACTTGCCTTCCCACCCTCCTTCGAGAGGTATAGTTTTATAGTTCTTGTCTCAGGGTAAGTGCCACTAGGAAGTAGTTTCTCTTCTAGGAGTCTCACCGGTGTGACGCCTTTCTTCAGCCCATTGTATGTTATTGTTGTTTAAGATTCGCTACCAGGAACAAAATGTTCCAGGTAGCACGGGCTATGGTGAGCCCGTAGTCCACTAGCCCATTGTATGTTATTGTTGTTTAAGATTCGCTACCAGGAACAAAATGTTCCAGGTAGCACGGGCTATGGTGAGCCCGTAGTCCACTAGCCCATTGTAAGCATGACACCGAACTATGTAGTGATATGTACTTATGAGTACATGTATGGGGACAGACGTCACCACAAACTATCTAGGACAGGTCCTTGTCATTCTGCTCCTGATTTGCAACAACGTACACGATGCAAGGTGCTAAGCTAACCAGAAACGTACATACCCAAGCAACCTACCTAACCTAATCAACGCATGCACAGAAAACGTGGATATTTGTGAGCTTCTACGTGTCGTAGTAAATTGTAATTTGTGTGTTAAGGACCATTACGTACCGAATGACACGTATTAGTTGAGAGGACGGGCTACCCGATCACGGGATCACAGGGTTAACCAAACCTAACCTAACCTAACTTAACTTCACCTAACCTATCCAGGGGTGACCCTCATCGGACACCCCACTAACCCTGCTGACCTCTAGAGGTCACCAGAGGGCACCCAAGGTCAACACATGAGTTTAGTTTAGTTCATTTATGAACTAAACTAAACTTAGACCTGCTGCCTGAGTAACAGCTTCTCCCCCGAATCAACCTGGTTGATACCTGGTTGATACCTGGTTGATGGGGTTCTGGGAGTTCTTCTACTCCCCAAGCCCGGCCCGAGGCCAGGCTCGACTTGTGAGAGTTTGGTCCACCAGACTGTTGCTTGGAGCGGCCCGCAGGCCCACATACCCACCACAGCCCGGTTGGTCCGGCACTCCTTGGAGGAATAAATCTAGTTTCCTCTTGAAAATGTCCACGGTTGTTCCGGCAATATTTCTTATGCTTGCTGGGAGGACGTTGAACAACCGCGGACCTCTGATGTTTATACAGTGTTCTCTGATTGTGCCTATGGCACCTCTGCTCTTCATTGGTTCTATTCTACATTTTCTTCCATGTCGTTCACTCCAGTACGTTGTTATTTTACTGTGTAGATTTGGTACTTGGCCCTCCAGTATCTTCCAGGTGTATATTATTTGATATCTCTCTCGTCTTCTTTCTAGTGAGTACATTTGGAGGGCTTTCAGACGATCCCAATAATTTAGGTGCTTTATTGCGTCTATGCGTGCCGTATATGTTCTCTGTATTCCCTCTATTTCAGCAATCTCTCCTGCTCTGAAGGGGGAAGTGAGTACTGAGCAGTACTCAAGACGGGACAACACAAGTGACTTGAAGAGTACAACCATTGTGATGGGATCCCTGGATTTGAAAGTTCTCGTAATCCATCCTATCATTTTTGTGGCTGTCGCAATATTTGCTTGGTTATGCTCCTTAAACGTTAGGTCGTCAGACATTATTATTCCCAAATCCTTTACATGCTGTTTTCCTACTATGGGTACATTTGATTGTGTTTTGTACTCTGTATTATGTTTAAGGTCCTCATTTTTACCGTACCTGAGTACCTGGAATTTATCACTGTTAAACATCATGTACCTGTTAAACAACCTACCCTGGCTTTGTGCCCTGGTGAGGCCACTCCAGACCAGGCCGACATCAGAGCGCAACTCCATAGTCTCCTGAGACTGATGGATGCCTACTATGCACCCCATACCCATCCTGTGGGCGGTAGTGGGAAGGGTTACAGAGCCACATATAATGGGCTCAGGGGACTGAACCCCACAATTCATTTAGCTAAGCAAGTTATAATCTTGGTGAGCTAGTTAGCATTAACAAGTGTAAACAGTATTTAGACCACACTCTGAAGATACCACACAGGTAGTGTAGATTCTCTCGCCTTCTAAGGAACACGCGTGGTGGATATGTGGGCCTGCGGGCTGCTCCAAGCAACAGCCTGGTGGACCAAGCTCGCACAAGTCGAGCCTGGCCTCGGGCCGGGCTTGGGGAGTCGAAGAACTCCCAGAACCCCATCAAGCAGGTGTCTTCACTCGTCACGGAGCCCAAAAGACCAGTTCAGTAAGATTAGCTGCAATTGGTCCAAGTGCGGCTGTTCACTGTAGCTGTTGTATTAAGGGTGTTCACTGTAGCTGTTGTATTAAGGGTGTTCACTGTAGCTGTTGTATTAAGGGTGTTCACTGTAGCTGTTGTATTAAGGGTGTTCACTGTACCTGTTGTATTAAGGGTGTTCACTGTACCTGTTGTATTAAGGGTGTTCACTGTAGCTGTTGTATTAAGGGTGTTCACTGTACCTGTTGTATTAAGGGTGTTCACTGTAGCTGTTGTATTAAGGGTGTTCACTGTAGCTGTTGTATTAAGGGTGTTCACTGTAGCTGTTGTATTAAGGGTGTTCACTGTAGCTGTTGTATTAAGGGTGTTCACTGTAGCTGTTGTATTAAGGGTGTTCACTGTAGCTGTTGTATTAAGGGTGTTCACTGTAGCTGCTGTATTAAGGGTGTTCACTGTACCTGTTGTATTAAGGGTGTTCACTGTAGCTGTTGTATTAAGGGTGTTCACTGTACCTGTTGTATTAAGGGTGTTCACTGTACCTGTTGTATTACGGGTGTTCACTGTACCTGTTGTATTAGGGGTGTTCACTGTACCTGTTGTATTAAGGGTGTTCACTGTAGCTGTTGTATTAAGGGTGTTCACTGTAGCTGTTGTATTAAGGGTGTTCACTGTAGCTGTTGTATTAAGGGTGTTCACTGTAGCTGCTGTATTAAGGGTGTTCACTGTACCTGTTGTATTAAGGGTGTTCACTGTAGCTGTTGTATTAAGGGTGTTCACTGTACCTGTTGTATTAAGGGTGTTCACTGTACCTGTTGTATTAAGGGTGTTCACTGTACCTGTTGTATTAGGGGTGTTCACTGTACCTGTTGTATTACGGGTGTTCACTGTACCTGTTGTATTAGGGGTGTTCACTGTACCTGTTGTATTAAGGGTGTTCACTGTAGCTGTTGTATCAAGGGTGTTCACTGTACCTGTTGTATTAAGGGTCACAGTAGCTGTTGTATTGTGATCACATCAGCTGTTGTATCAAGGGTGTTCACGGTAGCCGTTGTATTAAGGGCTCTAGCATACATCTTAAAGGAATAACATCTATAATTTTAATAATTAAAATGATAGGTATCGATTATACTGACAGAGCAATGATGTTCCCAGTGTTGGATTAGAAGTAATAGATCTTCTAATCAATTGATATTGATTAGAAGTAATAGATCTTCTAATCAATTGATATTGATTAGAAGTAATAGATCAATGTGACATTTTCTCTTTACATTAAGAATTTCCTGATTATTTTTTGTAACTAAATCCTTTATTATCTGCTACTTTAGTTCATTAAAGTTCTTTAAGGGCGATGCAGGTCGGGTTCCCCGTAGAGTTTGTGAATAAGTGATATTGTCTGACCTCTTACCTGTGTTCTCTCCTGACCTCTGACCTCCTCTGACTCCTGTCATCTGACGTTTGACCTAATCTGGCTACTAATGACTACTAACCTCTGACCTTTGACCTACTCCTGACTCCTGACCTCTGATCTTCTGTGGCTCCTGACCTCCTGTGACTCCCCCATATATATATATATATATATATATATATATATATATATATATATATATATATATATATATATATATATATATATGTATATATGCGAACAAGCCTGAATGGCTTGTATGAATGGCTGGATGGCTTCTGGGGTGTGAGTTTTCATTCGAATATATGTATATATATATATATATATATGGGGTGGAAACTCACGACAGAAGCTAGCCTGGCTGGGGTCCAAATGTATATATATGTGTGTGTGTGTGCGTAAATGTATGTGATGATTGAACTTATCTAGTTGTACTAACCTAAATATACACTGTCGGGGGTATTAGCTACAGCTCTTTGGTTCCGCCCAAGTCAGTGCTAGACTCTCTCTCAGAGCCAGATTCTCTCGGTGCCAGGCTCCTACAGGCTCACTAAACTGACGCAGAGGTTTTGAAACTTATTGATCCGGTTCCAACTTACATTTAAAGCTGTGTATGGAGTCTACCTCCGCTACTCAACTTAGTGCATTCTATTTTTCTCTACTCTGACAATGACAAGATCGTTGACATCCCGATGGCTCATTCCGGTACACAGTTTCCCCTCTACATCCCTTGTATCCCTTGTTCGTGTGCCAACTTTGCCATTGTCTATTGCATGAGTATTTTGTATGTTGTGATCATGTCTCACATACTTCATTTTCTTCCATTGATATTAGATTTAATTCGTATAATTTATATCTCATACCTTTCAGCTGTAGCGCAGCTGTAAACTCTATACAACTTTGTTTTATGCCTAATGCAATAATTTTTTCTCATCCGAGCTTCATATTACTGGACTGATCTGACGTATGTGGTTTGGATGTACAGGAGTAAATATACAGGTGGTAATGTGCACGTATGAGTGTACTGGTGGTAATGTGCAGGCAAAAAGATGAGAGAAAAGTTATTATTGTTTACCTGAAAAAAATAATTGTCACTAAAATGCGAAATTTACGAGAAAAATAAAGTAAAATTATTCTCTCTAAATTAAGGAAAAAACAGTGAGGCAACAGGAGTTTGTTTTAAATTTTCCGAGAACGACATAAAGATGAAAGAACGACCAATTGTAAACAGTAGAGTTTTT